ATATATATATATATATATATGCATGTTTAATCTTTCTATATTCTACTTAAACTTTCGACGAAGTACAAAATATAATCAGTATCAACACATATTTTTATTCTCCTTTACAGAGAGATATGAAATAGATACTCTCACATTGAAATATTAAATCTAATTATACTCAAATCCATATTTGTATACTTTGAACACACATGTTCAGACTAATACATGACGCGAGAGGGTATCGACGGATAAACAGTTACGTGCATATAGGCAAATGCATTTCCACGTAATTGTAAATATACGTGATGCGTATATGAGCGATATATATGTTCGGACATTCCGTCGGAGAGAAACACCAACAAGCGTATGCAAGACGTGTCCTCCAATGTACACGTCCTACCAATGTTCCGTCGTATACCGAGGCTGACGAGCCATCATCAGCGGTAGCCAAGATGGTCATCTGATAGAATCACTCGGCAGTTTACGACGAGAGGATTTCAGGAAATATTGCATTTTTTATCGCTTATAAATACGATGTTTCTGCATAACAACAACAAACAAGGATAAATTGGTTGAAAAATTTAAAAGCCATTTCGTCGTTAACACTAAAATCTTCTCAATCTTTTACGTGAACAAAATAAACATTTTATCGAAATATTTCACATGCGTAAAGCAAGACATATTGTAAAAGTTTAAAAAACATTTTGTAATAGACAATAATATTTAGCTATATTGGATTTGATATTTAAATATCGAAATAATTATACGCCGCTAGAACATGGTCGTAATACATACAATGTAATCAAGTAAAATAGAGACCCTATGTGGTCAAATTGAATAACAGAATTATCTTTCTATTTATACAATCCTAACACAAATGTTAAGATAATATTTAGCAACGCGCAACGGGAGACATTTATTAATATTTAAAATAGTAAACTTTAAGATAGGATTAAGGAGAGAGAACGAGGTCAGTAAATTCGCATTGCATGTATTTTTAATGAGAACTTAACTTGTCCGATCGAACATACGAATCTCGTCGTACACGATATCGCTACTAAACGATTCTCTTTGCGGAGTTAGAGCTTTACGATCAAATAAGATCAATGATTTTCCCTCGTGTCGTTTCTCCCTGGTGCTTTCACCAGCTCCAAATGTGATTTAACGCCATTATCGACGTTACGATTTTGTAATGCAAAACACATAGAATAAATGATTAAGTGGAAAAAGCTTTTTGACGTAAAAATATAATGAGAAGCCAATTGGATTCTAAATGCGATTTTAAATATGTAAATATTTATGATAATTATAAAAACGTACATGTATAATGTAACGTAAAATAACATACATCAATATGAATGTTAAATAATTTAAATTTTATTAAATTGCTCGAGAAAAAATTAAACTAAATAAAATAAAATAAAATAATAATGTGTACCTATGCTAATGTTGTCAATTAAATTTACAGAAACAGTAAAGGCAATTATACTTACAAAGAAACAAGGAAGATTCTCCCTTCGATTTTGATGAATTTTTAATATATTGTAATCTGGACTAAAATAAGAGCCATGTATTTTTTATACATATCCATACGCATTTTTAGGCGAGTAAAATAAAAATTGTTCGTTGCTGTGGAAGCGAATATCATCGAAATTATATAATAGATGGAAAAAGAATTTTTAATAACAGTTGAATGGTTTCAAGAATACTTTATAATGATAGTACAAAAATTCTTATTTATAAAGAAGTTATTTATAAAGAAGTAACAAATTAAAAATATTTTAAAAATTATTATTATAAAATATTCTTGAATTTTTAACTTTTATTAATAATATTTATTTCCTCTTCGAAAGAAACTGACCAATTTTTATCAAAGAGATGTTTCATTCTTTAAAAATATGCATGGGCACAGATAAAAAAAATGTGTCCCTCATTTTAATCTAAATAACAACATATTCAAAGTTCATTAAAGTTGGAGAGGAACACTGTCTTGTTAACTTTTGTCGTTTTGTAAGCTAATTTTATTATAAATATAATTTTTATAAATTTTATCTAATATTTCATCTAATATTTCTTCAAAATATATGTACATCGATAAAAGTTTTAAATAAAATTGAAATTTTCTATCTCATTTGAATTATTTTGCAGCTCGCTATACTTCTATAATTTTATTTTTCAAATGAAATTTATTACTTGTTTTCTATTAAGATTTGTCCACATTAATATGTGTATACTATCAATATTAATTAATTCACTTGGTTATGAAAGTATAGGTTAGTATAATGAAAAATATATTTTAAGAATATAAGCCGAACTATTATCACAATTTAACAGAAATATTATTTTCTTAATTTTTTTATAATCTTTTTATAATCGACTTTGAATGTGTCAATATTGAGAAAATTAATTAATTATTAATTAAGTAATTATTAATCAAGTATTTCGTATTAAACATTCGTTGTAAACATGGATTTAACGATCTTTGGATTCATATAATGCCACACCTGTTTATGTTTTCTTTTTACATAGTTTGTCGATACACATCACTCTTTACCCCGCAATTCCAATTGTATCTCTTCCAAGGTTTTGCCTTCGGTCTCGGGCACAAATAGGTAAATTAATACCCATACAAGAAATGTTATCGCAGTAAACGTCCATAATGGTGCGAATATGCCATATAACTCTTGCATGACCTATAAACACAGTACAAATAGTTCCTACTATTACATTATTTCGCTACGATATTAAATAATAGAAGAAAAGTTATATAAGTTTAAAAAATTATTTCACATTGTATTTTAAAAGTAATCGGAGCAATTTTGTTTATCAAAATGATACGTTCAAGTATATGTTTGAGATAAAAAAAACTGAATAACCGGTATTATTAATCTTTTGAGAACTGGAACTTCCTAATAAAATAATTTACAGAAGATTTTACTTTCTAAAGATTTCCGGGATCACTGAATTCGAGTCTAGTCTCAGAATTTTAAAATTTAAACTTCAAAAAGATAAACTGATTATTGTGAAAACTCTGTTTAGGAGGTTATCTCTGAGTTTGAATGTAATCTACAAATATCGAATTTCAAAAGGACAATAACTTCCATGAAGAAAGATCTAGTGTCATAGGGTTCATAATCACAGTTCAAAAGTCAATTTCGAAATCAGCACTAATTGTTTACATAGCACTGATGAGCTTCAAATAAGGCGAAACTTGATGTCACTTTGTAATTAAAAACTCCTTAAAAATCGAGTTTTATGATAATCAAATTATTTTTTAAAATTCTGTCCGCCATATTGAATCTACTATTTTGAATTTCTTATTTTTGACCTCAGATTTGAATAAAGCATTATCAAATTATTTATAGACCAAATTGCACAAAAATTTGGCGAGCAGTTTATAAAATAAAAGAGAATGATCCCAAACAGGATTCATAAAGAAAAAGTAAAATCTAATTTTAGAAAAAAATATTTCTTATGCAGGTCTTATTAAGCGATAAAATATTGATTGTTTATTAAATTCATGTAATTTGCATATTTATATATAAATATCGTAATGTATTTTTTAATATTATTATAAAAGTAAAAACTCCTTTTTGACCACCAAGACTATTAATCGATGCTGTTCCGTGATGTATAATACTATAGTATAATACTACGAAGCAAAGAATTCTTTTTTGTTGAACTTCTTAACTGATCGTTGCTGTTGATAACCCGCTTACCGCTGTCGTCCGCGAAAACAAAATCGATTCTTACACAGACGTTAACGTACCTGATAAAATTTCACAATAGCGGTGGTGCTTATAGCGTAGTAGAGAGCATTGAGCACCGCAGCGGGTACTTTGACCTCGACACCGAAGATTTCGCCGATATACGCTAGTGGTATCGGATTAAGGCCGAATCCAAAGCCAAGCACGTAAATCACCACGAAGACCGTGGGCACCCACTTGAATTGAGAGACATCATATCCGATGGATTGCAATTCGAAGAAAGTGGCTATCGTCGCTAGCGATACCACGCAAATCGGCGCGGCAATCAGCAGCAGTAACCTCTTGCCTGTGAGACGCACTATCGATACACAAGTGCTACCAGCTAAGACGATGGCGACACCCGTTAAGATGATACTGGTGTTGGTCGAGATCTTGAAACCGGCCTCTTCGTATATATACGACTGGAACGCGAGTATCGGCGCCGCACCGGTCAATGTCAGCCCGCTCAATAATATCAGAGCGATTCGAAAAGCTCTTCTGTTCTGTGCTTTGGTGAAAATCTCTTTGAACATCTCCTTAAGAGTCAACTTGCTACATTTGTCCTCGGACTCCACGATTCTTTTGATCTCCTCGAGTTCCTCGTCTACATTCTCTTTACCCAAGGCCCACTTAAGAGTTTTCTCTGCGGGTCCAAGTCTATTTTTCCGCGTGAGGAACACCGAGCTCTCGGGTAACCATATGAAAGTCAATAGAAATAGCACTGGGGCACACATGCTTATCATTGCCATCGTGAATCGACTGATCCACAGGCCGATTGCGTAGATGAGCAGCATCCCGATGTTGAGGAGAACGGCCATTAAAGTACCTGAAGGTCTTGTCTCATTCAGCGATGTCTTTTAAAAATACTAATTATTCGCGAACAATATTATCCAAGTGCAGTGTGCACAACAATTACAAAATATATGATCGTTAACATTAACTGTAATCGTATCTATTAAGTTTAAAAAACATCAGATTTGTAAATCTTTTTAAAAAAATACAAAGATGCCATTAAACATCATTTGCAATTAATACATGTAATATTAACGAATAAATATTTAACATTTGTATTTAAAACGATAAATATGTCAAAATGGCAATAAAAATTAGACTATGTACATTGACGCATTCAAAATAGTTAATATCGCACCTAAAGGACCTCTGGTCCGCTTGCTGCTAATTTCGCCGAGATACATCGGCATTACAGCGTACGTTATGCCACATCCGATGCCCGCGAGTATCCGTCCAACGTATATGAATGGTACAGATGTAGACAGCCCAATGAAGATCCACGAGGTGATCTTCGGTATCGTAGTGACTAGTAAAGTTCCCTTACGTCCGATGTTGTCCATCAATATGAAAGGTACCAACGAGCCGATGCCAACTCCTATATACATGAGGTTAACAATCCAAGCGATCTCATTGGTTGTCACCTTTAATGGATCTCCGTCATTGAACTTCGGTATGGTTGGTGTGCTCCATCCTTCATGGAGCCCGCAATCGATGATCAAAATACTGCCTGAGAAGTGATCACTCGTGAGTTTTCCATAGATCATTCGCGAAAGATTAGATCCAGACATCTCATTGCAATCTCATCTGAATACTTACATATGAAACCAATCAATGTTTGTCGCAATATACCGCGGTCCATTGTGTTCAAAATTGATGTTCCTCTTGCTTATAATTATTGTTTCTATCGGATTGTTCTACGGATTAAACAAAACAAAAAACAGTTGCTATGAAAACAGTACGCGTATATGATTGTGATCCTATATTTGCAAACGAATACTTTTCTCACTTGTTCTTTTGATTTCCAATTATAAATAATTGTTATGTAAATACATATTATTGTTGCAATCAATATCGCAAATGACTTACAGATTTTATTTAGAGATTTTCTCTCTCTTGAGATTTGCTTAAATGAATTAACATAAGAACATGTTATCAGATAGATAAATAAAATATGTACTTGATCCACCTTGTGTTCTCCAATTTAAGCTTGAATGCTTGAAAATGACACGATAAGATGCAGGAGATTGAAAATACAAAATTCCATCTTTGCTAATTATCGTGATCGCAGCTAGTCCTTCTAATCTGACGATACGGCCGATCTCCGAGCCAAACGGAGATAACGGAGATAAAGCCAACAAGGGTACTAACTAGATTCCGCGCCACATATCTCCGGACTGAGGGTGCGATACAGTCACACGTGTAAACGGCTACGTCTGCACGCATGACCGCTGACCGCCGCGGTCGGAGAGCACTTGCTCTTGCTTTGTGGCACGCGATGCGATGCCTCCCAAAGCGACAGTTTATGGCCGGCCATACAATACACCTATTAAGAGACGGAGGCCGAACCGAGTGCGTTCCTTAACATGAATTTATTGCTATGGAATTCATATACATTTTGACAATTCACTGTCCAAAATGGAATATCCATCTAAGTGAGTGCATCAACGAATCATTCGTTAAGAATGATTAGCTCAACTGTTAGTTGTGAAAAAGAAAAATATATCTTCTTTCAAAATTAATTAGTGATTATTATTAGCTCTGGTCAACACATAGTTAATTATTATTAATTTATTTCGAAAATCAAAGACATCTACGTCAAAAAAAGCAATCAATGTCTTAATTTTGTTGCCCTCATTTTTGAATAGTTTTGTTTCGCTTAAGATCAAAATTGTATGCACGCATTTTTTTCAAATTTGAATGTTGAAAATTTGTTTCTAAATGTGAACTCTCTCTCTCTCTCTCTCTCTCTCTCTCTCTCTCTCTCGAATTAGCTAACTCCCAGATTTAAATTTTGAAATAAAATTTGATAATAGCACGCTGCTCCGTTACGAAAATTTTTACAAGAGAAAAAAAATTTGAAACCGATTTTCGAAATATTGCTTGTAGCATTGTAAAAAAAATGCACGCAAGTCAAATGTTGATATTAAAAGGTGCTGTTGTTGAAAAAATGGCGTTACTTGTACGTTCAGAAAAAAATCAGTCTAGAAATTTTTAGACAGATCGTATATCTATATTTATAAATAAGATTTAATACTTTTACATGAATATAGGAATAATCACCAAAGTGATTATTTGTTGGTGTACATAATCAAAATATAACACAAACCATTTAGGGTATGTGTGTAAGTTTAGTTTTTACATTATCCTGTTCTATTTGATATGGGATGGTAAACATTTTCTTTTATTAAATAAATGAATCAATAATTTAAAAAAAAAATAGATAATTTCTTACAATTTTAAGTTGTAAAAAGATTGTAACTTTATCATACAGCTATATAGACACACTTAAAGTTCAACAGCGAATACTTTCGCACTGAAAGTGTGAAAATAAACTGTTCATTCGCACTGTCTTATATTATATTCCTTTTAATCATTATAGTCTAATTATTGTCCAGGTATCGTCATTTTCATAATAGTCATTTCAAGCATTGTCTTTCTGTGTATATATTTCAAAACGAAAATATGAATTTTAGTAAGTTTTTAGTTATGTAAAAAAATTGAATTATTCTTTTCGGCATATTAGAAAAAAATGTTGTGCCGTCAAAGTAGACGTACGATTTAATAATAGTGCTTGTTACAATTAAAAAATTATGTTTTCTTCAATCGTAAGACATTGTGTTTTATAAAATATTTCATTTCTCTCTTCATTTCGTAATGATTAGAGAAAACGGTAATACGTTTAACGTACAACATTGCGCAATATGCAACTGGCACATAGCAACGATAATTACGAAGATTTATTGCTTTAATAACACGGATCGTAACTGCAATAATTACATGTAATATTCAGTTCCCTTTTTCTTCTTGTGATGATATTCGGCTATGATATTCGAGTTTAGAGCGAATCAATAATCTTTCGTAAGAGTAGAAAATATAGAAATGGTCTGTTTATTCGGACAGGCTAAACGCTAAAGAACATGCATTTAATTTTCTTAACAACTAAATGATATCTAGAATTTCTTTTGAGTCTCTAGTTCGGTTCTGGAACTTGGTGCAGATTGTACAGAAACCTTCGTTAAAACCGGTCAAATTCTCAAAAACCAGTTAGTTTACGTCCTTTTGTATTACTCAAACAGGTTACCGAAACGATCGGAACACGGCCGAGACGTTGTATCGGTTTATACCGAGACATTTCCCGTCGTCCAACTCCACTTATCATCACTGAAGAGCAAGAAGAAAGGCCCACGGTTACTACCCCAAGGTCGTCACGACCGGAGATGCATGATATTTCATCTTAATTGCGTAGTCGATGAATGGTTAATCGCAGCCTCCCGAATCGAGAGACTCACTAGACTTTGAGTTATAATACATAATTATTTTTTAAACATGTATTATTTTTTATTAATACATAAACAATAATCGATTCAGTAAGCAAAGTTTATTAAAAGTTTATTAATTTATAAGCTATTTATAAAGGCATAGTTATTTAGAATTAATTTCATATATATGATTTTAATTCAGTTCTGTGTAGATTTCATTTTATGTTAAAATCAGAATTGAAAAGTAAATGATAGAGAGCATTCTTCTGCATTCTCATTAACAAAAAATTTGAAAGATTTATGAAATAATTAGTCTCTTAGAAAATAAATAGCGATCGATATGATCGAATTATCATATTTCCTTTAAATTAATAATATAAAGTAATCACGGATGCTTTTCATTGTGTAGCTAATTAAGCTATTGCTCTACCGCGATGTTTCATTACTCATAGCGAATATAATAAATCATTTTGCGCATACGTGTTACGGGTATTCGCTAACATGAAACTCGAACATCGACCCGATTAATTGACAGATATATACATAAGAGTCATTATGCGAACACGCATATTTTATCTCAATCACGTCGTTACACCTGATTTAACAATGACATGCCATTATCACGCGGAGGATTTAATTCGCCTTGATCAGCGAGCGAGCTGTTACTTAATCATGGAAGGTAGTTAAATGCAATCGGGAATTACTTTATCATGCCATTTGATGGATATTGAACGGATATTGAACGGTTAATGGTATGAATCATATTTTTCAAATGTGGTTTAGATAAGGGATTACAATGGCATAAATATTGATTATTATTACCTGTTTACTTCCGTGTCTGAAGCGCTAATATTAATTCTCTTATACTAATCTAATTTTGCGAAGCAGATTTTCTTAAGCCTTATTGTCTGGCGATTAGTATTTATGATAGTTTAATTTTTCTAATAGACACATTTAAATTAACACATGTATGTGTACATATGTATATGTCTTTCAAAGATGAAATTCTGAAATTAAAATGAATTTCCGTGTCAGAGAAATTTTTCTTTTTCTAAACTGGAGTTATTCTTGGTTTGTTTTACGTCAATAATTATTTCATAATGACACTAATGATAGAAACTTTCGGGAAGTTCTTTTAATTATGATTTTAAATGATATTTCATGACAGGCATCAGATATCGTCTAATTGCCTCCAAATACGAAGCACGCAGCGAAAGTGTACTCGCAGAAATAATTATATCGAGAGTTCACCTTGATAGAGCACCTGTCACTACCACGATAGTCGAGAATGAGATGCCGAGATCTCGACGCGCGTCGGCGACAACGACGCCGTTGTCATTCTGAAAGACGCCGGAAAGGAAACTGAGCCTGACTCTGATACGCAGGCACGTCACTACGATTTTAATCGAATCCCCTCCCGTTCTGGACGAAGAACGACAACGTGGCCTGCTAACCGCTAATTACTTTCCCGCGCTATTTCTGGCGCGCGCAAGGCTTTTTCCGCAGTTTTTCATATTGTTCTTCTGTTCTATCAGTTAACCGCCTTTTGATGCTATATGTGCGGAACGTGCATGTCACACATCGTGTCTATTTCGAAAATTGGTCTATTTGATGGTTCGTGATTTTTTTCACTTTTTAACAAACGGACGTAATGGTGCGGGTGTCAAATGGTAGGAATGCTTGGGAAAACTGATATGCTCGCTATTAATTCGTTGTTATTGACTGTGTTAGGTTTAATTTCAGAATAAACGCAATAACATGTGTGTTTCCACTTCCACGTGCAAACATTTGCTAATTGAAAGCGAGAACGCAATCTATACACGTTTATTCTATGTCTATGTCATGTTTATTCAATACCTTATCTGAGCGAATACCAAATGAGTAATGCAAATTGCACAGTTTTATTCTAATCATTATGTTACTCGGTTATTTTCGCTGTTAAATCTAGGAAATCTTAGAGAAGGACAAACGTGAATGGAATTAAAAAATTATTTCTTAAAGGTAAAAAATTATTCACATTGAATTTCAATCTCGGGAGATAAAAACGTAAGCCTTGTTCGGGAAAAAGTCATTTCTATCCTTGAACAACGTCGTGATTACGGGTTAATTTCATATTTAATGTGAATAACATTGAAATGTCAAGCGTTTCAAATATATATATATATATATATCACCGAATGTGTATGTTTCCTGCTTTTAAAATTCCAGAAATAATTGTGGGAGTTATTTTAAATGTCAGTAGAAAGTATTACTCGTGTTCAAATGCCAGTTAATACGGTTGATTCTAAAAACTTAGGATTTTAGAAGTCTGATTTAACATTTATACTGCAAACAGGAAAATCTAATGGAACGTAATTCGCCAAACTTTCTCTCGATTATTCGCGCAATCGGTTCTACTTCAATGCAAACGGTCGACCTGACCGACGGCGATTCATTTTACTGGCGCAATCGAGGAAACATCTGACGTGTCTTAACTTTGAAATTGCACTGGTGATGTTCTGCGCGGCGAACGACATCGCAGATTTAAAGGCGTCATTGCCGTGTGATATCCTTAGCGCATACGTTAAGAATATTGAAAGCAATGCACAATTTTTCTAAGCATGTCGTATTGTTATGTATGTGTTTATCAACTTGATAATTTGTCTCTCTATGGACCGATTATTTCATTTCTTTAGATAAACTATGAGGTAATTTATTTATTGGCTAAATAAAAGAGTAAAAGAGCAAGAACATGGAGAGACAGTGAGCTGAAGTTTATCGAAAGGTCGAATCCATTATATGTCGTAATAAACCGCATATTATTCTTGTACATTTCAATCGCATGATGTGATATGAATTATATGACGTGTCTTTATGCATATAAAACGCTATTGCACTATTTAAATAATCTTTTTGTAACAAAGCTCAAAATCTAATTTATACTTTAATAAAATTGTTTTCGGATCTGTATTTATATAGTCAAATTTGTAAATAACTGTTTCAAAACAAAACCCCATTTTTTTTTTATATAAATTCATAAAAATATTTAGATGCGAATATATAATTAATAATTCGCTATCGTAGATTGTAATTATTGTAACTCAATAATATGGAAAAATTTAATTTTTGTTAATCGTTATTTGCATTATTAAAAATGAAAGAATAATTATTTATTTACATTAATAAATTTAAATTTATCAAAATTAACATTAATTATATTAAAAATCCTCTTATTAATATAAGTATATTTTATACAAAAAATAAATAATAATCTGATCTAATACAGAGATATGTTTACCAAATGTAATAAAAATCTATCATTTCAACATCTTATATTTCATCACGTATATCGTTCACGAAGAAAATATCCGATATATGCCATTAAAGAATCACTATATGAAGCTAAATATTTTTTATTACATTCCATGATTATCGATATTTTATGCAAATACGATATTTTATGCAAATTATGTTTTATTATAAATTCAGGTATGCGAGGTATTATACCCGAGAGGTATCAACGTAAGAAAGACTGAGATAAGTAATAAAAAATTTGCCATGAAATCCAAATGATTTTCCGAATACTCATCGTCTTGCTGCTTTCCTCATACCTGCTTTAATCGGGAAACGGTATGGTTAAACTACGTCAGATAGCGACAACGGGAACAGGCGAGATGAGGTGAGGCAGGAGGTAGGAAGGAAAGAGGTCGTTCAACGCACGGAGACAGCACGATAGTCCCTAAAGTATATTTGCATTTGCATTCGGTAATTAAACTCCCTCCGTTTCCGCGATACTAGACTACCTCAAGCTCGTTCTTATCGGAGTTTGTCGAAGAAGAGCAATTGGTCGGCTCGAGGAATTCCAAATGGCTTTCTCATGCTCGAGGCACGTGACCAAGTTATAACGGCCGGAAGTCAGCGAGATACAAAACTCTCTAGCGCGATCCGTGGTGATTAATCGTTTCGTTCAGTCAAAGTTACTCCATGTTCCATTAATTAAGTAATTAAACCGCTGTCGCTTTGCTTCCAGCATCAAGATTGACATGAGATTTCGTACGAACAGATCGGGGAAGAGATTCTTGTTACAATTTGTGTTAGTTACCATTCCTGTCACCGTTTCGAATTACGAAAGCGAAACATATTCGGGAATTTGATTCAATTTCGGCAATGCCGACAATGTAGAAAGTTCTTAAAAATCAGCTGCTTTGAAGTAGTACTTGATAAATTGTACTTTTAAAATATGTTTTTTTTAAATAGCAAATTGTTGAAATAATAATTTATATAAGGCAATATATAATGAACTATATAATAATAATTGTATTTTGATGGAATATTTTGCATGTATAATAAATTAGAGAAAAATAAAAATCAGAAACCTTTCTCAAAATTACGTGTAATTTATCTTTCGAAACATTACGCTTAATTATTTTTCCTTCCAATATGTGTTGAATGTAAATCAACATTTTGCATTCGATTACTGATATTATATAAAGACCAAATAAAATTGGTATACCTGAAACAGTAATATGCAGAAATTCATGTTTTGTTTTCTCTTCAATTTCATATTTAAAACCCCGAGTATCAAACATATTGAAACATAAAATACGCACACGATTGCAGATACACGTGTGATTTCATCCGGTTGTAAATCATACAATTTTAATGACGAGAAAACAAAACGTAGAGAAAATTCAAGTAATATAAGTAGTTAATTAGAAATTATATTTTCGTGATGCAATTCACTTTCAAGCAGCAACACGCCGCGAGGAGGCGTTAAGCATGACCATATTTCATAATCATACATTATTCCGCTCGCATGATTTTGATGCAGGGATTTTAATTCACGTATCGTTTTAGAGTCTATTTTAGGCAAACTATTATTTCAGAATTTGAGATAGAATTTTATGATTTTATGTACCGTGTAGCACAACAAATATTTATGAAGAATCAAAATAACATGCACATACAAAATATATACTAAAATACACACACGTATATCAAAATATACATATCAAACAGAATTCAGAATTCTATTTTCAAATATAAAAGTGAATTTTAGATCGTGTCTAAACTGGACATTACGAAAATTTTTCCTTTCCATACAGAGCTTGTAAATTGCACGGATTGTTTACGAATATAATATAATTTTAATAGCATTTGCCTTATGTCATTTATATTATATTTTGTTACATAAACATATAAAAATATGATCGCGGTGTCAGGAGATTATCCATACGCGTATGTTTTTATTCCGCGCAGAAGTCGGGGAATCCACTCGATATCCCATGTCTACGATATCGGCAAAGTTGGCCACGAGAGACCGAGCCTACTTGGCAGATATAATAAAAAGAGAGATATCGTAAGGGTGGAGGCGAAAAGGCGCGAGCTACAGCGAGCGGTATGCGCCGTAGCCCGCAGCTACGCGCTGTAAAATGAGAAATGCATGAGAAAGCGGCAGGGTAAAAGGACTTACCATCGTGGGAGTCGTAGAGGTAGATGATTTTCTTCCAACCATAGTATCGCACCGTATCGATGATAGCACGATGGTAATCCGGTCGCATACTTATGGCGAAGTCCAGGAGACCCGAGGATGGTGTCAGGACCTAGATACACAATAATCCCGTGCATTTTCGGCATCCTACGATCGTGCTCGTCGTGAAATTTTGAACAGGCAGCCGTACGTCATCCACTTAACGCGCTGCCGAAATTAATTCTACTTAGGAGGGAAAGGATGCTTCGTCGAAACTTTAATCTGAGTCGGTGCAATCGAGCTCCTACCACTCGTGAATTCTCTTTGAAACTTAATTCCTGCGAATGTGCAACTGGTGCTTGCGCGTAGTGATTTATTACCGAAATATATGCCTTTTGATACTAATTTCAGTTGTCGAGTCTCGACTCGGCTTTTTCTCGTAAAACATTTACGCGCTTTAGAAATGAATTGCGAGATTTTCCAAGGCAGATTGAACAAGAGAGTAATTTAAAAATATCTTTTTAAAATAAAATAATACTTTCTTTATTGAACCTTCAGATGATGATGAAAGGAAGTAAATACCGTGTATGAGATTTAAAAAAATAATTATCGTCTAGCTAGAATGATTATATCCGTATTGAATTTCCAATGCCAATAACGTCTCTTTTTCTTGAGAGTGAAGCAGCGATGCAAAAGGCAGTGCAGGCAAGGATCTCATGGAAATTGAAAAAGGATTTTCTCTATATAAATGGCCGTTCCTGGCAAACCGTAATTGGCCCAAAAAAAAAAGGAGTAGAAAGCCGAGGCGTCGAATCAGCATTACCGCGCGATTACCATTTAAACGACATCGACGTTCGTTACGCGTACATATATATATACTTATGCTGCACGG